CTATGTTCACAGGACATCAGACTTGAAATAAAAAGTTTTTTCACGGCAATTAATTTGTAGTTATTCCAGTACGTTTTAAAGCATGAAAGCAACCTATTTGGGCTCTGTGGGTTTATTAAGAAACCTCAATCATTAAAAAATTCTTTACTAAGTAGTCCGATTAAACTACTCCAGAATAGTTTGGACAAAACAGGAATTTCAAAACTGGCCATTTTCTTCGGTCTGTTCTATGATTGCATCAGCTCATTGAGAATTGCAATACAGACTCAATTCCTTGAATCAGCTGTTGAAAAATTCCCATGTCTCACTCACAGGTAGAAAATAATTCCCTCTATTTCTGATGTTCTGGTGCTGTCACTTATGTAGCTAAAAGAGGACGGTGGCAGCAGGGTTGGAGGAACCCTGAGGTTTGTCAAAGAGCAGGAAAAAACATTTGGGGGGAAACCAAGAAGCTGATCAACAGGGGAAAGGCTGTAGCTCAGTGGTAAGAGCATCTTCCCTGCATGTAGAAGTTCCCAGGTTCAGTCTCCAGCATCTCCAGGTAGGGCTGAGAAAGATTCCCTGCACAAAAGCCTGGAGAGCCACGGCCAATCAGTGTTAAACAGTACTGACCTCGATGGACCGATGGACTGACTCAGTGTAGGGCAACTTCTTATGTTCTGAAACACGGACCAAGGATAGTCAGTGGCCAGAGAATGTAAGAGGGTAGACAAGAGAATGAAATGAAGTCTAGCAGAGAAGGGCTTGGCTGGCTAACAGGAACAGCAAATGGGAGCACTACACACTGCAACGTTTTATTGCCTCTCCTACTTGTATGAAATTCCAAACTCACCAGGAAAGCAAATAGCTGTTTGACAGGACACTAGGCTAAAATGCTATGAGTGGAAATAAACGAAGCTTTCAATCACCCGCAGCTCCTCCCTACAACCATTAAATTATGGCCATTTTAAATTGACCGATAGATGGCAGTATCATACCCCTTTTTGTCCTACCAGACACATTCTCCGTTCAACAGTTGCACTAGAACCCTTTGCTGTGTATCTTCTTTTCTTATTAATCTTTTGTTACAACTTTCCAATCTTCATTTTTGTCCGGCTTGTGCTTCTGCACTCTTGATTCTTTATATCATGTTTTAAAGGCCTCTGAATTACTGGGAGTTTCAGATAAACACAAGCAACCCCTGTAACATTTTCACAATGGCATCACATTAAAAAGGTGACTTTAAGCCTACCTATGCTACATTTATCCACATGGGGTATATTCATGTGTGAATATCAATCATCTATACAAGAGTTCAAGTCTATAGTCTCTACCTGCTGATTGTTTTCTTGTGTAATGAACTCATTAAGCCCATTTTGTGACTGACTCAGAATGCATCTGTGCTGGAAAGAGCCTACTCAAAAGGGGTGGTGAATACCAGCTTTTGCCACATGAGGGCTCATTCAGCATATCCACATTACACAGGGCCGGCTCAGCCAATGTTGCAGCCTGAGGCGAAATAAGAAGGTACTGTTCCACCCACTCCTGGCCCAAGCCTTGTTTACTGAAGTTATACAGCTGTGGTGGCTTACCATTGTCACACGACCCTGGCATGGGCAGAATCCCTGTGGGATTCTGCTGCCCATAATGGCTGCTTCAGTCTGCCTCATGGGTGGTCCTGACGATGCCCAATTAATGTGGGAGGAAGATAGCACCACTGTACCCATCACTAATATGAACATCCGGTCTCAGTGTAAAGCCCTCCTCCCCAATTTAGAAATGGCACACTGTGCTCAAGTACGTTTTGCATGCAAGCCCCCTTGGTGTATGTGCAGAAAATGATTCCATCTGGAGTAATAATAACAATTTCATTATTTGTACCCCGCTCATGTGATAGGGTTGCCCCAGCCTGTGAATTCTGTATGGGCTCTTGGAGTGGGTCAGTGTGTGCACCCCTTAAAGTCCTCTTTTACTGAGTCAGCCGTTTGGGCGGATGAGGATGCTGAATTCAGGGCCCTATTTTCCTTCTGCCCTGGCAGGTGATGGGAACCATAAGAGCTTACCTGCAGAGATCTGTATGCACAGCAGAGTGTGAATAGCTGATGCTGTACACAAGGATATATGGATTGGAGTCCTGAACTACTGAGAATTTGTCTTTTCAGCCAAGATCCGATCAGGTGTTTCTTCTCATGATTTACATACACTACTTGAAACTCTATAAGTGTCTATATTTGTGAGTGGAGCCTCCTGTAAATTTATTGCTCTAGGCATCCTCCTGCCAGAATTAAATTGTATTTGCTGGTTTTTATTGCCTGTTCTGGTCATAAATCTGTGGCCTAGTCATTCTGGGCATTGTCTATCACTGTTGCTCACACTTTTATTACAGGTTGGGGATTATTATTATTATTATTTCTTTACAGTAATTCTGACAGAGCCTTAACTTGTGCAGGCTTGCACCTATAAAATTTATATCTTTGATATAAAAACCTGTACTTAATAAGCTTGTTACACATTGACAGTCTTATTGCAATCTCTCTCTGCCAATATATTCTATTGCGGCCCTTCTTGTTTCTAGAAGTGTATTTTATTTTCAAGTAGTATAGCTCCAGTAGTATTAATGGGGGTACATGTGTGAATTCTGCGTGGATTTATAACTGGCAGGGCACTGGCCAGCTCCAAGGATGTGCAGTGCTGTAAATAGTGCTTCTCTGGCTCAGATGCAGTGGCAAAGCTCAAAGCCCCCTGCATTCTCATTACCAAGTCGATTTGGCGGCCTTCTTGAACGCAGCCATCTAATCACTTGGTAGCACAAACCATTCTTTTTATATGGGTTATAAAGGCAGGAAACATCTGTGAAAAAGCAAGTGATGGATCTGCCGATAAACAGAAGAGCAAGCTTCAAGTACTAGAATTAAAATGCGCAATTGAGGCATTCCATGGTGTAAAATGTAATTTGTGGGATGTAACAGTTGGGCCACAACACCATTAACTTGAGGAAGCATCAGGTTTTGAAGATTGAAGCGATACCTAATTTTATTATGAGTCTGGGTAGATGAAGCAACTATCGCAGTTGGTACTTGCAAATAGAGGATACCAGATTGGAATATATTCCTCCTCTTGTTTTTTTAAAAATTTTCATTGTCTCAGTTCTGGATTTGGAAGGGATTTCATTTAGGCAACCCAAGAAACAATGGGTTGTGTTCAACTAAGTGTTACTCGGCATAGACCCATTGCAATTAATGCACCATGACTACTCAATACCATTAATTTCAATTGGTCCAGTTTGAGTGATACTTAATTGAATACAACCCAGCATTTGGATTGTTTGCATTCCTGAATCTCTTTAATATAAGAAAAAGTGGAGGGGTCAGTATAGTTAGCACACACGATATCACAATCCGTGCATTAATTTTTGATTTCCTCACACAGAACCATACATGAAGTCTCATTAGATGGGTACAATTGGTATTGTTGTTGTTTTTGCAGTTACACAGCAATGTTGTTGTGTCTGTTGATAGATACAGGTCACATCCGCTCCATACATTTAAAGCACCCAGCTTCCTGCAAAGAATCCTGGGAAGTGTATTTTGTTAAGGGTGCTGGAGTTATAGCTCTGTGAGGGGTATACTACAGCCACATGGGAAACTGCTAGTCATCTGTAGCATATTCTCATATGTCAGAATAATTTTACCAGACTCCATCCCCAATCATAAATCTGGAGAAACAGAGGCATGATAAACATCTCACCATATGGGTAGCTACTGCAGGCTACAAACTTCCTGTCCACAGCAGGTAGTCACCATTTGGCAAACAGCCAAGAGACCGCCACTATCCTTGTGTGGACCTGCCACAGCTCCAGAATAAATAAAAGCTGCATGCCTCCAATCATCAACATTGGATTCATTTGGCTCCACTGGCATCCAGAATCGCCAAATTCCATAGCACAACATTGCACTTTGTCTCCGCTACTTCCCTGCTACTTCCTTGCATATTGGTCCCATGTACGAAATCATTTAGCACGCAAACAAAGTGCTGAATATAATTAAGCATGGATTTCTGTGAGTAGTTTTAAACAAGCCTACTTGTGGCTTTATTTGCTCCGTTCTTAAGCTCTTCGGCATTAGCATCTGTCATTTTTATACTCATTTATAAGGAATTTCCTTGTTGTACATCTAACTGGCTGCATCCGTACGATTAGAGTAGGAAATGAAGTGAAATTTGCATTTGTTTTCACAAAAAAAGACTTCTTCCCCAAAAAAATGATTTTAATAAACTGCAAATGTGCAAATACACGAGCTCTGTTGTTTTCTTTATCCAAACATACATTCTTGGCCCAGAAAATCAATGCTGAAAATTATTTTGAGTTCTTCAAACATCCATATGCTTATTATTAATATATATGCAATGCATATTGTACAGATTAGTAACAGGCTGAGTGCTGAGTGAGTGAACAAGGGTGTTAAGTTAAAACTACACAGCAGAAGATTGGCAAGAACAGGTGCGTCCTTGAATGGATTACAATGAAGTAAGTCTGAAAACAAAATCCCTTTTCTTAAAGCCTCGTGTTGATCCTGTAGTGGACCCTTCACAGTTCTCCCAATATCCAAATAGTCTGAAAGGACACTGAGTGCAATGGAGCTTATTTGTGTTTCTGTTATTTTTTAAAACCATTTTTGCTCTGCCTTTCCCATTGTTCAAGGGCAAAGCAAAGGTAAAGGTACCCCTGACTGTTGGGATGTGGGTGGCGCTGTGGGTTAAACCACAGAGCCTAGGACTTGCCGATCAGAAGGTCGGCGGTTCGAATCCCCACGACGGGGTGAGCTCCCATTGCTCGGTCCCTGCTCCTGCCAACTTAGAAGTTCAAAAGCACAGCAAAGTGCAAGTAGATAAATAGGTACCGCTCCGGTGGCAAGGCAAACGATGTTTCCGTGCGCTGCTCTGGTTTGCCAGAAGCGGCTTAGTCATGCTGGCCACATGTCCCAGAAGCTGTACGCCGGCTCCCTCGGCCAGTAAAGCGAGATGAGCACTGCAACCCCAGAGTCGGCCACGACTGGACCTAATGGTCAGGGGTCCCTTTACTTTTACCCCTGACTATTAGGTCCAGTTGCAGACGACTCTGGGGTTGCGGCACTCATCTCACTTTACTGGCCAAGGGAGCCGGCCTTTGTCCGCAGAAAGCTTCTGAGTCATGTGGCCAGCATGACTAAGCTGCTTCTGGCTAATCAGAACAGCACACGGAAATGCCATTTACCTTCCCGCCAGAGCAGTACCTATTTATTTACGTGCACTTTGACATGCTTTCAAACTGCTAGGTTGGCAGGAGCAGGGACCAAGCAACGGGAGCTCACCCCATCATGGGGATTCGAGCTGCTGACCTTCTGATTGGCAAGCCCTAGGCTCTGTGGTTTAGACCACAGCGCCACCCGCATCAAGGGCAAAAGGCAGAGCAAAAATGGTCCTCTTCTCACCACCCTATTTGCAGGTGGTAAAAAACTGGAATGGGAGATTAAACTGAATACAGTGGTACCTCGGGTTACATACGCTTCAGGTTACAGACTCCGTTAACCCAGAAATAGTACCTTGGGTTAAGAACTTAGCTTCAGGATGAGAACAGAAATCATGCTCCGGCGGTGCAGCGTGGCGGCAGCAGGAGGCCCCATTTGCTAAAGTGGTGCTTCAGGTTGAAAACAGTTTCAGGTTAAGAATGGACCTCCAGAATGAATTAAGTACGTAACCAGAGGTACCACTGTATTCTCTGGGGGAATTCTCCAGTGGGATTTTTTTTGGGGGGGGGGGTTCTTTGTCACAACCTCAAGTGATAGCAATGACAAAGGTGTTGGTGGACTGGTGCCATTTTGTATCCCATACAATGCTACGGAGGTAGCATTTTCCCAGGGCATCGTGGGAAATAATTGTAATTCTGTGGCGATTGCCAGTTTCCCCCACAATGCTGCTGAATGGCATTAAGAGTTGTATCCAATGAAGTGGTACAATTAACACAAAGACTTTTGCCTACGCAGTGGCATGTATTCTTCCTCTCCTCTCCTGTGTGTCCCCTAAAATCTGTTCTGGATTTCCCTCCAACTATCTGGAGCAGATTTGGGTGGGCAAGGGCGGTGCCCAAGGAGACAGATGAAGTTGCATAGTCTAAGGCATTGTGAGAGGATACAAAATGATGCTGTTCCTCCTGTCAAATGGGGAAGAAAAGCCACATAGTTCCTGCTAGTTGTGACCCCCCCAACCCCCCCCATAAGATTGTTTGGTGAAATAACCTTTCATGTGTGGCTGTGTGGGGGGTAGTATTGTTGCCCCCTCACTCATCTAAGAACTTTGATCCTAGTTCTAATATAATGCTTCTCTGCTTGGTTCTGTAAATCAAAGATGGACTGGTTCCATACTAACATTTGTCATCTGCAGATTTGCAGGTGAGAGAACATGAGAAGCTTGTTTCGTTTCATTTTTTGCTATGCAGGTTCTCTCTTGTTCAGATTTCTTCAGCAGTTTTGTTGAAGATGTTTTTACTGCTCCTGCAATGTTACTGTATTTCAATCAGAATATTCAGGGATGTATAACTGATTTTGCAACTTGACTTGAGTGGTTCCATGTTTAAATTATAAAGGTAAGATCTAAATGATTTTAATAAAGAAATATATATACATAAACATATCCCTTGGGAATTTAGGCACACCTATGCTCTGAAATGAGATGAAATGGTTAATGATTGGCATAGGCCTCTCACTTTATTCTGCCAATGCATTCGCCTTTTGACAGGGTTTCTCAAGCTGTCCACCATCTGGGTGCTACTCAGCCATCTTGGCTGTCCAGAATTCCAAATGAATGGAGGCCCACCTACAACCAAATGTCCACACATTTTGCAACTTCAGTATGATTCATTATTGTATAGGAAATTTTTTACAATATCCGTATGATCAGACAATGATTTCTATTTTAATTCCAACTTTCGCTATGGTATCTCAGCTGCTTGAATTTGCCATGTGAAAGATTCTGAAAACTGAGTATGATATATGTATATACACACACACATTTCTATAATCTTTATGATTTCCCAGTTGTTGCTGTTGGGTTTTTTATGATTCTGGGTAATACACAGCCTGGAGTATGACGTTAGTTTGTGACTCATGCCTTTGCTTGTTTTCTTCTGCTCTCCGGGGGTTGTATTGGTGATGCACAGTTAAGGTAGGAGGTTGAGCTTTTCATCATTAGCACACCCAACCTGTTTATTTTATTTTATTTTATTTTTTAAAGATGAATAAACTTGCCAGCATCAATATCCAGCAACATTTCAGATCTGCCAAACTGGAGGTAGAGAATCCAAAACAGCAGATGCAGGTAGTGTTGGTCACTGTGACAACTGGACCATCCTGGTATGGAGGTGAACCAAGAATAGTCCATATTTTGCTGTGAGTAGGAATGATGACTCCTGAATTCCTATCACAGTCCTGGTGAGCTGATTTTGGCAAGTCTACATCTTCATCCTGAAGGCAGAGTGGGGACTTGGGTGGTGTCTTGCCAAATGCAAGGTGGTTCTTTTAAAATGAGATTATGAAGTAATACAAAACACAAGTGAGTGAGAAGATTAAAGGTTTTGTTCTAAACAGCAAGCAATATATATACGAAGCAAGCACTTCAATCTGCCACTTGGAAGCCCTCAAGAAGTGACGAAGTGACGCCCCCAGGGAGCCTCAGTTTTCAAGGCCGTCAGTCCATGCACAAGCTTCTCAAAAACTCTGCCCACAACCATCTGATTTATAGTTAGCTAGCCTGTGTGGCTTGCCCGGCTGGCTACGTGCAGAGCATTCATTGGCCACACCTTCCCAATGCCTCACATTCTCAAAATAATGTCCAACATCAAAGAAGGTGTTCCTCCCAATTGATTAGGACATTAAAGGTGTTCTCATGCCATCATAGAACTTAAATGTGCTCAGGGAGGGGGAAGGAACAGAGGCAGGAAGAGTAATCATGTCAGATCACTAATTCCTCGAAATACAATTTATCTTCCAGGTAGATTGCCCATACTGGTGGTAGTATTGGATGGTCAGCTGCAGCAGCATGATGGAAACTACAGTAGCCCTGAAACTGAAGAATACTTTTTAAATTCATTGCAGCCTCTAGGACTCGTGACCAGGATTTGTAATCAGAGGTGTTCACGAGGGCGTTTTGAGGAAGAGGCCAGGAGTGCTGTCTCACAGTGTATGTTGGACCAAGATACATGGACAGTGAGGGAGCTGCTGCAGTGACCTCTAAAACCCATGCCATGTTTGTCTTCCTGCCTGAGATAGTGCAAAACTAGACCTGCAGCAATTGCAAGCCGGCTGCCTTGCTGCAAGAGACGGTGCAGCAACTTGAGGCCAGACTATCCACACTTTATGCTACTGGGAAAGATAAAGATGATAAAGCCTAGTGGACTGTCCTGGAACAGCCACACAGGTTGGGTGCCCCTAGGGAGGAGGAAGATCTCCCATTACCAGAGATGAACCCCTGGAGGAACATGACACACAGAGGCAGGACTGTCAGGAGCCCTGCTGTGTCACTGGAGTTGCAGAATCGATCCCCTGCCTTCACCTTGGGCACTGATTCTGGAGCAGAGGAGCAAGGACTGCAGTTGCAGACCTCAAAATACACCAAGGTGACTATGGAAGGTGTGGTGTACAGAACTATTCCTGCCACTCTCCAGATGAGAAAGAGATATCTAGTGGTGGTAGATGACTCTTTACTGAGGGGGACAGAGGCAGCAGTGTGCGTTAGCATTCTCTAACACTGTGACTTTCCATATGAGTAATAATAATAATAATAATAATAATAATAATAATAATAAATTTATTACTTATACCCCACCTATCTGGCTGGGCTTCCCCAGCCAATATGGGTGACTTACAACAGGATATTAAAAACACAATAAAAGATCAGACATTAAAAACTTCCCTAAACAGGGGTGCCTTCAGATGTCTTCTAAAAGTCAGATACAGTGGACACTCGGGTTGCCGACGTGATCCATACAGGAGGCACGTTCACAACCCTCAGTGTCTGCAACCCACAGTGCTGCGTCTGCGCATGCGCAAAATGCGATTTAGTGCTTCTGCGCATGTGCAAAGCGCGATTTAGTGTTTTTGTGCATGCGCGAGCGCCAAAACCCGGAAGTAACCCGTTCCTGTACTTCCGGGTTTTGGCGCGTCCGTATCCCGAAAACATGCAACCTGAAGCATCTGTAACCCGAGGTATGACTGTAGTTGTTTATTTCCCTGACATCTGATGGGAGGGCGTTCCACAGGGTGGGCACCACAACCAAGAAGGCCTTCTGCCTGGTTTCCTGTAACCTCACTTCTCACAGTGAGGGAACCGCCAGAAGGCACTTGGCACTGGACCTCAGTGTCCGGGCAGAACGATGGGGATGGAGATGCTCCTTCAGGTATACAGGACCGAGGCAGTTTAGGGCTTTAAAGGTCAGCACCAACACTTTGAATTGTGCTTGGAAATGTACTGGGAGTAGCCAGATCCGAATGAACCCATTTGTGTTCACCTTTCACAAAGTGGGCAACATGTGAGAAAAAGAGCTGGTATAAATAAATGCAGTTTAGTATGCATCTGAACAGAACAATTAGGTCAGTGATTCAGAATACAGAAACTGTAAAGTTCAGGCAATAAATAAATAAATAAATAAATAAATAAATGACATTAGTTTACATGGCAGTAGCCACACCATTTTATCAGCAATGAATCACATATTCTATGATAAAGAAAATGTCATCGAGTCATCTGTTGTGCACTATCTTTTGCTGGCGTTTGGACCCACCACAGTCAAGGTTGTGCTGACAATGTCCAGCAGAATCAGTAGCCCTAGAAACAGTAAGCCTGTCTGAAAAGTGTGTGTCATCGCCCTGGCCCCGAGTCCCTCATGCTTCTCATACATCTTCATCTCTCTTCTCTTTGAGAACAAAGGTGACCAGATGGATTGAAGGACGAATCTCTTCTATCTTTAACAGCAGAATTATGTGCAGATGTGACTTTTGCCAAGAGAAAAGCTCATCAGGAAAGCTGCTTTTCATAATTCAAAACTGGCTTGTTTGCTCAGCCATGTATGTGCATGCTTTCCCTCCTATGTGTGTATAAGTTTTACAGAATTAGATCATTTGTCTCTAAATGTCATATATAATCATTTGCTACAGTTTTGAGTTAGAAATCCGGTCCAGGAAGATAACCGACTCAAAAGCAATCTCTCTATTTCTCTCACACACTCTAGCTTGGAGTTAAAATATGCTTGTACCACCATGGCACCCTTGACATTTGAGTAGCTTTATTCTGCCATATGGTAACATCTAGGTCAGTGATGCCATCCATATATTTGCTGTACTGCAACTCCCACCATCCCTGACCACTGGCTATGCTGACTAGGGCTCATGGGAGCTGGTGTTCAAAACACCTAGCCGACAGCACATTGGCTACCCCAGATCTACCCCAGTTCCATTAAGCTGGCAAATTTATTGCCTAGTGGAACGTTAGATCCAGAACCTTGTTGTAATTATTCAGCCTCAGTCAACGCAAGCATCATATTCATTTGTCTTCCTCTATAGCTTTGGAATTCTCTCCATAAATTCTGAGGTTATCAAATGGGAATTTGAAGTTTTCAAACATATGCTCAGAGATCAGCTCTTTAAGCTATGCAATAACTCAAGGATGTCATCATCCTATCTAAGCACCCTGAGCATAATTCCTGATAGAAACATCATCAAGGTGCCGGAAAGCCTTTGGCAACGGAATACAATTAGGTAAAGTATTTTAAGCAGTCAATCCAATTAGCAACAAACAACTTGCTAGATCCAGTGATCTCGGAGGACTAGGAGCTGTGTTGTATGCTTGAGAGTAGAAAAGGAACACTCACTTTGAATGAAATATGCTCTGGGGATAAAACCAGATGTGGTGTTGGAAGATGGCGTATGAGCAGATCTCCCTGAAGATTTTGAAAAGGTAAAAAACCCCAGTGCCCTCTGAATTAAATCAGGGCTGCAATATTTGGAAGGAGGGTTAAGCATATTCACCAACACCATTTCCTCAGTTCAAATTGTCCAGCCCTCCTCAAAGTTGCTATCCCATCTGCAGAGGAAAACATACAGGTTTTATATATTGATAACAGTATGTTTTCTCCAACGAGACAAATAAAAACTTCGCGGAGAATGTAACCTGGGGAAAGGGTGTGATTCAGATTCGTTATCAGGATCTAGCCTCACAGGCCAAATTTGACAGGTGGATGAGACTGCTCATCTGTAGTCACCTGATGTCACAATGATGTACAGGTAACTCAGATCTTACACAGGCATTGCATTCCTGGTCATCGTGAGTATATGCAAAATCTCATTAAAGCCAGAACACCCCCTATTATGTTTTTATATGTGTTGGAAGCTCCCCACAGTGGCTGGGGCAACCCAGCCAGATGGGAGTGGTATAAATAATAAAATATTATTATTATTATTATTATTATTATTATACCATAAAAATCCTAGAAAACCTTAACAAACCATTTTTAAAAATTGTGCACTTACCAGTGAAGGAGGAATGGGACTTTCAGTCTTCATCTTCCTCCCCCTCCTCCTTGCTGGATGCTACTGCAGTGGTACCTTGGGTTACACACACTTCAGGTTACATACGCTTCAGGTTACAGACTCCGCTAACCCAGAAATAGTACCTCGGGTTAAGAACTTTGCTTCAGGATGAGAACAGAAATCGTGTGGCGGCGGTGCAGCAGCAGCAGCAGGAGGCCCCATTAGCTAACATGGTGCTTCAGGTTAAGAACAGTTTCAGGTTAAGAACGGACCTCCGGAATGAATTAAGTACTTAACCTGAGGTACCACTGCACAGATTATATGAGGCCCAGGGGTTTTGACCTGTAGCCAGAAGAAATGTTTGGATGTGGCTCAGATCCAGAGGTAGGTTGCCTGGGCACATCTGCTGCTGGTGGTGGTATCTTTGTGAGGAATATGATGATTGCCAGCTGCTGCTATTGTCTCTTGAGCTCATCAAACATTTCCTTGTATGGTCTCAGAGTGTCTGCAGTCCCATAGATGATCTTGAGGCTGCATTTCATGTGTTGGTATTAAGTTTTGGTTTAAACTAAAATAGTAGGTATTTTAAAAAAGAGAGTTCTCTAGATGACAAGATCCAGGTTTGGGGCAAGTACTCTTGGTAAGAGAACCCCAGCAGAGATTTAAAATCACAAAATATACAGTAAAGTAAAGCCTTGAAATATATGCTATTGAACCTTTAAAATATGCCCTTCTAAGTTGTTTCCAAAGTTCCCCTCTTCCTTTAGCATAGAAAGAGACCACACATTTGGTAAGTTAAAAATGGTTTGCTTACAAACTCTTCAAAGGTCAGATTCATGTGCTTTTCCACACAGCTTTCAGAAAACACAGGCAGTAAAGCTTAGGTTGCAAAGTGGTTAATGTTTCTAAATTATTTGTATAGAAACACAAAGCTGGCTTTGTAGAAAAGCTAAGTGGTCTGAGTTTGGAGTAACCAGCCCAGACATGTTGGACTTCACATGGTAAACTGGGGAAACAATAGATTCCCTCCCAAGGTGAGGGGGGAGTGACCAAGCTAAGCCTGGCAGAACAGTTTACTCTATGGCATTAACCCCTTCATGCAGTAATTAGACTTCAGCATGCTGATTATATAAGGCTGTTTATTCCACACCATGGAGGGAGGCAGTTCATTTGTGCACTTTATGACTTGGAAGAGTTGAGAATATTTGTGCAGCTTCCTTACCATTAATTTACCACCTCCCAAAATCATCATCAGCATCATCATCAGGATTGTTTTTCTTCCTATACAAATAAGTATTCTTACGTCTCGTCTCTTGTCTCCTCTCGACTTGGAATCAGTACAAGTTGTGAAATGAATCAATAGCCCTGAATACAGATTTACCTGCTGCTGAGCACCATAAAATGTTCACTATATGCTCCAGAAATACGTACTGGTGGTACTCCACATTAATTTCCTCCTTTCTCCTTTTTCCTCTCCTCATACTAGTAAGAATGGAAACTTCAGCATCTTTCAGGCTTTTAGTATAAGGACCCCTAGAATAGAATATCATTATACTTAATAACATCCTGCAAACCACGTTGGAAGCTGGTCTTGTTTCATAACATGATGCGTCAGTGCCCAGGCACCATGGTGATGGTAAGTGCCTAGGTCTGACCTTTATGGTATTATTTGTGGGTAAAAATGCATTTATGTCAGTGGAACTGGTTTTGAGTTGCAGTGGTTATCAACACAGAAAAAATGTTTTCATCAGCATTTCAACCAGTGTTTCTAATTTCTAAACTAAGAGCCCGTTGCAGAAGACCTTGGATATTTTGTTGAATAGTCACACACACAAATATCTACACATCTGCTGGAGGATTCTAGGTATATTAATAACTTTGGGGAGCACATGGGAAGGTGTTTTGTTTTTTTTACTGTGGTGACTCACTAACCTTTTCATGGTGCTGTGCCTTGGCACTGAAAAATATGAATTCTCCACAGCTCAGAGGGACATCTGAACCCCCTGGGGTCTCTCTATTGCCTCAGAAAGAGCTGGCGTAGCTGGCACATTAACAGCATTTGATTCCCACATGAGAATGGGTGGATCAGCTGTTGTCCATCGACACAAGATGGTTCTCCTCATTGCCAGATTTAGGGAGGTGTGGGCAGTTCCCCTGCACAGGGTGCTGAGCTGACAGGGTACAATTTATTGTTGTTGTTGTTGTTGTTACAGTCAAACCTCAGTTGTCAAACGTAATTCGTTCCGGAAGCCCATTCGGCTTCCGAAATGTTCGACACAGCTTCTGATTGGTTGCAGGAGCTTCCTGCACTCAAGTGGAAGCCACGTCGGACACTTGGCTTCCAAAAAACATTTGAAAACCAGAACGATTACTTCCGGTTTTTGGCGTTCGGGAGCTGAAACGTTCCAAAATGGAGGCATTCGGGAGCCAAGGTTTGACTGTACAGTGGTATCTCTGGTTGCGAACGGGATCCGTTCCAGAGGCCCGTTTGCAACATGAGCAGAACGCAACCCACATCTGTGGATCGCAATTCGCCGCTTCTGCACATGACGGCATTTTGCGTGTCTGCACATGCACGGGCGGTGAAACCCGGAAGTAACCCTTTCCGGTACTTCCGGATCGCTGTGGGATGCAACCTGAAAATGCTCAACATGAAGTAAACATAACATGAGGTATGACTGTACCTATATTTATATGGGCACGTACTCAAAGTTAGGCCCTGGTAGGATAGGCAATTGAGTTGCAGCAAGGATGATGTAGTGCACTTGAGAGCATGCACACAACAGAAGGTGGAGGGAGGGGAGAGATATTTAGGAATGAGCACCAAATTTTGCCTTTGCTCAAGGCACCATATTACTAAAGTCTGCCCCTGGTTTTCCTGCACCTGCTCCCATTTTGTCCTCCTGTTCTTAGGCATGTATGTTTCACTCAGCTGAAACATCCTATGAGTGCACAGAGCTGTTCCACTTAGACAGAGCCCTCTTCTGCAGCCTTCCGCTGCTTAGCTTGGCTTGTTTTACTTTCTCCTTTTTTGCTATGTAAGAAAAAAGATCCAGTAAAAGCCTGAAATGCCCACTTGTGCCATAAAGTGCCATCTTCTCTTAAGAGTGCTCACCCACTATATGCTCTTAACTGGAGAGCTGGATCTAATAGTTCTCCATATTCCTAATGCATCTTCTTGTGTTAACTTTGTATGTAGGTCATTGTGTGGCAGACTAATGCATGCATACATAAACTTCTGTTTGTTCATTTTCCAACCAGGATCTGGGAACTTTTCTGGTTGTGTTCGTCTTTGTTTCTGGAAGTGATGGGACAGTTCAAGCCCAGTGGCACATGCTGTTTTAGGTGCCATAGGGACAGAAGGGGAAGACGTAGTAGCCTGTGGTGACAGTGGTTTGCTAATTGGGGCAATGCCTGCATAAGAAACAAAAGAGGTCCCTGATTTTACAGCACCCAACAGGGCCAGTCCTACCATTGGGCAGAGTAAGGCAGCAGTCTCAAATGGCAATGGTGCAGGGTGGAACGGGCAGCAGCAGCACGGTGCTGGGGCGCACAGTGGTGTTCATGTAGGCTGCTCTGTGCCCCTAAAGCTAGCCTGCTGCACTAAGATGGGTTGTCCTGTCATCACTGTGTAAGATTTAGCTGCAAGCGTGGTTGGCTTTTGCACATGGAATAGGGAAATGGACACCATCTTGTTTGCCTCCAGCAGCAAAATCTTTTGAGCTGCCCTGGCAGTCAAAGCCAAGCTGAGAGATTTGTACATTTTTTCTCCCATCAATGCACCAATTTATTGCACCTTTCCCACTGGCTGAAGGATCATGCCTTATTTTTATGTGGGTCATGTTAAGGGGTGTGGAGTGGAACACTTTGATTTATTCATCCAACCACTACTTGCAGGAGCAAATGGATCAGCATGAGGTACGACCTCTCATTCTTGGATCACCAAGTTGTTCTTTTGCTTTTCATGTATGTGTGTGTTAGATCACACCTTTAAAAGTACCTGCTTTCCTTTTAAAAAAAAATCTCACTGCCACCATTTAGTAAAGGTAAAGGGACCCCTGACCATTAGGTCCAGTCGTGGCCGACTCTGGGGTTGCAGCACCCATCTTGCTTTATTGGCCAAGGGAGCCGGCGTACAGCTTCCGGGTCATATGGCCAGCATGACTAAGCTGCTTCTGGCGAACCAGAGCAGTGCACGGAAACGCCGTTTACCTTTCCGCCGGAGCGATACCTATTTATCTACTTGCACTTTGATGTGCTTTCAAACTGCTAGGTTGGCAGGAGCAGGGACCGAGCAATGGGAGCTCACCCCGTCGTGGGGATTCGAACCACCGACCTTCTGATCAGCAAGTCCTAGGCTCTGTGCTTTAACCCACAGCGCCACCCGCGTCCCATTTAGTTTCCTATAAATAATAGTTTAGCTCACCAGTTATCGCATTAGTCAAGACCGGCCATAACATCTCTGTACCAGCTTTATATTATGCAGGCACATTAAGCAAACTGAGGTGCCCCCACCCAAGTGGAAGATGCTTGTGGGTGAGGAGGATTGTAGCAATCAGCCTTCCATACCTTTTAAGCCCACCTCTGTTCATCCCTCCCGAACCACACACACACACACACACTGCTGCTCTTCCTGAGCCTATCCCAACCCAGGCTGCACAAGTAATTCCTCATGAGTAAATGTAGGGGGGGGGGTGGAGAGGTTGGCAAAGGACACACAGATCTTCCAGGGTTCTAAATCACAGCAGGCCTCTCATGACAAGAAAGGGCTTCCCGTTTCAGAACTTATATGTCAGCATGTATAGGACTAGGAGTGTTCACAAAAACTTCAGGGGTTGACAGAAGTATTCAGAGCAAGTACTGAATGGGAGAGAAATGCCTGAAGGGAGGGGGGGGATACAAATATTTTATTAAACTTTGTTCACAGCTAGGCTCTTAATAGAAAGTAAAGGTCAGATTTCCACACTTTCTGGGAGTGAAGTACACCTCACAGACATAGCGTGGTAGGTGCCATGAACACCACATTTCTTAGAAGATGCTAGTGTAAAAAGGCTTTTTCAAGTGAGAGAGGACTTTGGGCCCAGAACACATAGCTTCAGATAAGGAGCTCTAGTTTGACCTGGGATTTACATCAGGTTTTGCCTTCTCCCCCATTCTCATTACCATAATTAAACACCCATCTTAAGTCAGATCAGGGCCATTTCAGATTGGACCCCAAATTGAATTGGGGAACATGCACAGCCCTAATAAGTACAATAAGTACAAATAACCTGCTGAATGTTTGGAGACCAAACTATCTGAAGGACCAGCTGCATCTGTATGTGCCTGTGCAACTTTTAAAATCACCCTCATTTGCCCTGCTCTCTGGATCATCATTAGTTT